TTGTTCATTGCTTAAACATATAAGTGGGGGCCTTTTCAGCAGAATATTCTACTCTCAGTCAAGGAAAACACATTTCTTCAAATAGCAAAATTTTCGAGCTCAGTCCATTTCTAGATAACCAGGGGCTTAGGATAGTAGGAGGAAGACTTAAGTATTCCAATTTTGATTTCATTAAAAAGTATCCTATTCTGCTTCCTCCAAATCATCATTTCACTAGATTAGTTTTTTTTTTTTGGAAATGAACAGGAAACTCATGCATTCTGGCCAGCAATTACTGTTTGCCATCAGGGAAGAGTCTGGCCATTTTCAGATAGATACATGGCCAAGAAAATTGTACACAATTGCATTTGTTGTTTTCACGCAAAGCCTTGAATTTTCTATCCAATGATGGGGGAGCTACCAATGGATAGAGTTACTGTAGCATTGCCCTTTGCAATGAGTGGAGTAGATTATGCCGGTCCATTTCTTCTTCGCTATAGAAAAGGGCGCAGCTTCAAGACTCACAAATCATGGGTCTCTCTTTTTATCTGTTTCAGAACAAACACCGTACATCTTGAAGTGGTAACGGATCTCACAACTGACTCTTTTATCGCGACATTTCGTAGATTCTGCGCTAGAAGAGGTAAGCCTTCCAGAATGTTTCCTGACAACGGCAGGAATTTTGTGGGAGCTAAAACATAAAAAACTCTAACTAGTTTTCTCTCTGATAATGAAAAAACCATAATTTCATTATATGCAAATGAAGGTGTCGAATGGAAGTTTATTCCTTTATATTCTCCCCACTTTGGTGCTTTATGGGAGGCCGGAGTTGAAGTCATGAAACATCATATGAGACGGGTGTTAGGTAATGCATGCCCTGTATATTGGGATTTTCAGACGACTCTCTTGCAAATTGAGGCAATACTCAATTCCCGACCATTCTTCCCAAGTAGTTCCGATCCTAACGACCTCCTTCCAATAACTCCAGGCCACTTTCTAATTGGTAGACCAATATAATCTCTGCCAGATCAGATGTTCAAACCATAAACGAGCGCCGACTGAGTCATTACCATAGACTCCAGCAATTGCAGCAGCACATATGGACTCGATGGTCCCGATATTACATCTCTACTCTTCAACAGTGATCTAAGTGGTTACATCAGTCTCCAGAAATAAAAATAAATTCTCTTGTTTTGGTCAAAGACAATGATGCAGCGCCTATGTCCTGGCTTTTAGGCAGAATGGAATCGCTCTACCCAGATAGCGATCGAGTTGTGTCCATTAGAACCTCTAAAAAAGTGATTCGACGCGAAGTTGCATGTTTGTGCCCATTACCAGATGAAATTAAAAGTGATATATTTTTTTGACTTTCATGAATGATTTTTTCAAATAATGTTTGATATGGTGAACAGTATTTCGAAACGTTTCTTTCAAGGCGGGGGGCATGTTCCTTCATATCTCAAAATTCTTGTTACGCCTCTGCTTCACCCCCTAATAAACAGAAGTTCTTTCTCTCAGGTGTTTGTTGCGAGAGAAGTGAGCTTCAGGTTCAAAATCTGCTATGGATGAATTTTCTATATCAATGTCATCATACCACTGTTCGTATATTAATGAACGAGAAGTTGTATTCCGAAATGAAACTTTCAATAAGATTCACTTCATTGAATAAGCATTGGATATCAAAAGCCTTTGATAATGACTGCCGCAGTTGCAGATGAAACGTCTGGCGTAAACACTTGTAGAACGCAGGTGGTGAACCCGGAAGCAGCAAATAAATTGAACTGAAAATTATTAAGTGACAATAACTTTGTTCACTTTGTTCAAAATGTATTTATCCATATGTATGGAGACTCTTCTAGAACAACTGGACTCGATGAAGAATACATTTGTTATCAATTATATTGAAGTACGTTCTTGTCTAAATCTAGTTTTTCAACTAAAGATTATCATTCATTCAATATTGTCAAATATGGAAAATAATCGTGAAATAATTCAAATTTATTTAAGCGAATATATGAATTGTAAGATGTTCCAACCTCAATTTCGATATTCTAAAACAAAAACACTCAGTATTCAGAATTCCATCTTTTAATATTTCAAGTTCATAGACATCGAAATTGATCCGATCACAGGATACAGAAATATAAAACAATCTACAAATACGCAAACTTGGCACAGATTGCATGCTGAACATTTTACCTTAGTACATTGACCTGGTCAAAGTTGCAATGTCATAAATATTGAGGGAGGTCAAGATCATGAAACAGACAGTATTCAGAAATTCATTTGAGTATCTATTGATCAGTTTTTCAACACAAAAAGTTGAATTGTTGTTGGATTGATATTGTACAGTTGAAAATTATGTACTTACATTGTCATTGAGGTTGGACTCAGTGATGTTTAATAGTTATTTATGTATCAAGGGAATTAGGAGGGCCTTAATTACCGATGGCAAAGTTTGCGTCCCGAGGGCCTCTGGCCCGAGGGACAGCAATTGCCTGAGGTTATTAAGGCTAATTAATTCCCGTGGTACATAGATAATTTATAATTCTCTTTATGAAATCATATTTTATTTATTACCACCTTTCATGGCAACTTCTTTCGCCTAAAAAGTATTATTTCAGAGATACTTATTGCAAATATTTTTTTAATTACTTACAGCTTCTTTGAAATTATTTTCATCTTGCATATTCCTCAAACTTCTTCAAATTTTCCTCTGAATCAATTGGAAATTGAGAAGTTCCTGAAAACGGTGATTGCACTTCCTTACTGTTCCTCATGTTCTTCTTGTGCTTTAGATCTAAAATTAGAATAATTTCGAAGTACTAAGTTATGAATGTCTGGAAAACAAATTCTGTCTAAATAACTACCCACAGACATGCATTTTGAACAAGATATATCCTGAGTGACCTTTTGTTTATTTTATGAAAGCTTTCGCAGGAACATCACATATAAATGCTTTGATTTTTATAATATAATTACGAGAATCATAGAGAACACCTTTTGTAAGAATATCAACTGCCTCCGTAACAAAATCATGTATAAAATCATTTGCACTTTTTGGTTTTTCATTATCATGATACAAGCCATAATATTTACAGTACTATTATTACCAAAAACATTACACAGTATCGGGTACAGTTGGCTACCTGAACTTTTTGAAAGAGATAACCCATCAATATTTATACATAATTCTATTACGTTTGAGTCATGACACGTGAGTTGTGGGATACATTTTTCTATACAATTTCTGAATCCAAAGTGATAATATTTTCCAGGTTCCACAGTTTTCAGAACAAAATCTCTCGGAGTCTTCAATAATGTTCTAGCATCCAACGGTAGCTAAGGATGCACAGGTTTTAAAAGGTGTAATAACTTTGTGAATGCCAGTTGAGTAATATTATTCTCTAAGGCCCATTTTCCTAGTTGAAGCAGCAATGACATTTCTTCTGTCCCGACTTGTTCAAAATCTTGAACAGTATTCTGAACCAAATCATTAATGAAATCATCATGACATGATGAATCACTTTTTGAGTCACTGTCACTATCACTTGAACAGCTCACAGAAGGACCTTCTACTGGGTCAGTCATGGTCACTTTGGAAGTTGATGGAGCATTTACTCTGGAAGGATCTAGAGATATTACGTTATCTCTAGAAGAATCATCACTTAATAAATGATTTAACTGTGAAACTTCAACGTCTCGCTTTCTTATAAGCTTTGTTGAGAATTCCACTTTTACGGTTATGATTTTTCATATTTCAATAAATGTACTCACCAGTTCTAAACACCCGACTACAAAGATTAGGGTTACTAGGTTACTAACTAGGCCTTCTCTTTGCCAATTGCTCAATATTTTTCTTCTCGATAAACACGAAAGCAAGTCATTAGTTAAGCGCCAAAATTTAGGATTAAAAATGATAAATGTCAAAACCAACCAAATGTCTACCAACCGACGAACTGTCGATGATACTAAACTTATGATTTGTACGTCAAGAATAAAAATAAGAAAGGCAAGTACAGAACTGTACGTACTTGTTATTAACACATATAATCAGGAATGATGTGTTCAGTATATGTGAAATAATCATTATATATTTCCATAACTAATTTTTTATAAATATAAAATGAAATACGGCCTTTTTACCAATATTTGTCAGTCGAATGTGAAATAGTTTTCAAAAGAAGCAACATGTATTAAAATTTCTATCAACAAAGTTTACATTCACAAAATTCAATTTTGGGTATAAATTTTGATTAACGAAATTGCATGTACTTATATCCTATGGATATCCATAAGATATCCTTTTCAATACCGGGATATCCTGGACGTGATGTGGACATAAAACGGATATCCATAGGACATCCTGTGTTATCTGGGTAATATTTGGAATATAAATGTTTCACCCATTCATTCATTCATCCAAATAATGAAAGAACTCATTCAAAACCTAATTAAATATTTATTGTAAAAGAAACGGAAAATATAAACTCACACTCAAATGTTAATAAAAAAAAATACATTAAAACGCCAAAAACTAACATTATACTGCCACCAGCAGGATTGAAGAGAAGGAGATGTGATGCATTGCTGATGATCAATAGATACTCAATTTCTGAATACTATCTGTTTCATGATCTTGACCTCCCTCAATATTTATGAAGAATTATACGCTGACATTGCAACTTTGACCCGGTCACTGTACTAAGGTAAAATGCTCAGCATGCAGTCTGTGGATAGTTTGCTTATTTGGAATATTAAAAGATGGAATTCTGAATACTGAGTGTTTTTGTTTTAGAATATTGAAGTTTAGGTTGGAACATCTTTCAATTCATGTATTCGCTTAAATAAATTTGAATTATTTCATGATTATTTTCCATATTTGACAATATATCAAATTTCATCTGTCAAATACTCATTAAAAAACAAGGACTTCAGTATAATGTCTGTTTTTTGTCGTATGATTGTATTATGAACTATTTTAGGTGTGAACAAAATCTTTAACTCATTTTATTCTTTAGGGCTACAATTGAAGTGTCCAATATTGTCAAAAAAGGAAACGATGATATGGTGAGTATTCAGTTGCCGTCCACTTGATTTTCTCAAAAACATATTATTTTTCTTTCAAAAACTACACCTCACGATTTGATATCCACAAACTTCATTTGAAAAACATCACATGTTTCGCTAGCACAGTAGCTTTGTCAAGTGATTTGAACAAATACATTCAAATACTGTGCTAGAGAAACATGTTGTGATATGTTTTTCAAATAAAGTTTGTGAGGTGTAGTAAGGGGCCGAATCAATCAGAAAAATATTATTTTTCAGTGGGTTACTCTAGAACAAGCAAAACATGGAATGGTTCATCTGAGACTAACCTGGCTATCACTCAGTAAAAATTATTCCGATTTAGATGCGGTGAGTTCTATCAAGGTTTATTTTTATATAAAACTGAAGTTACTTTGTGATTCATGATAATAGTAATGTAACAAATTAATAAATTACCTGTCTTAAACAAATTTATTTCCAACAATATTTCACTAATCACAAACTGGTTTATTTATCACAACACTTAGCAACTAACACTTAATTTATTTCCACTATTTGAATTGCTTGTTTAACCGCTCGATTCACATTCTGAACTGCTGTCTTGGGTCGGAAAGACGGGCTTGTATCATCAACGGTCTTTTTTAGAATTCTGTAGTCGGTTCGGTACTAGAATTTTACCGGCGATTCCCGACTGCATTCTTTCGCGGTGATGTCATGTGTTTGTTCCATGAGTCGGCTGGCGTAGTGGTCAGGGGCGTCTTCAGATTCTTACATTACCCCAAAAGCCATTTCGTCCCGAAATGTCATCATTGGCGTGTGTCGATACCTGCAGGATTCTCCATATCTGCACTGTAGTTCGGTGGAAGTAACACTTCACAGTCTTCATGCTCGGTCGTGGAAGATGGTTACCGTACATCAAAATCTTGACTCCGCTGAATCTGAATATCGTTTCCAACATGCATCTCACAATTCCCCAATCCAGCCTGTCGAGCCCAGAGACTAATTTCGGGATTGCCAAGTCCACAAGATTCTGGTCGAGCATCGTGTCCCTCAGTCTGGTAAGACTCCCCAGGACAGTTTCTCGAGAATGCTTTTTGGACATTTGAATATCCTTTGCCACGCAGTGAGCTGGTGTGTAATCTCAACTGTAACCTTGAAAAGGTATCATGGCTCATGTACGACCTTCTGTCAGTTCGAGTATAAGACATGAACTTCTGGAACGTCATTTCATCCTCTTGTGGTCTGAGGGCGAAAACTTGGTCCTGATTTCCAGCATAAGGACCCAATCTATTGAAATGAACGATCCTACACTTTCCTCTAGGAGGTTTATGGATTCGGTAGACGAGGTCATTTATCTTCTTCATGATTTTGTACGGACTCTCCCACGAGTTCCGCAACTTCGGTAATAAACCACGGCGTCGTTTCGGGTTGTACAGTCAAACTAGGTCACCGGTTTCGAATTCTACAGCATTCGCCTTGATGTCATAGGCCTTCTTCATCCTATCGCTGGAACTTCGTATGTTCAGACGGACTCATTCATGGATGTCGTTCATTCTCTGCTGAAGCTTGCTGACATATTCTTCCCCCGCAGGGTCTTGTACTGGCGGCGTCCCAAATTTCAGATCGCAAGGAAGCCGCAGCTCTCGGCCCATTATAATACTGGCAGGGGTTTGGCCAGTTGACTCGTGCGCTGCCAAACGATAGGTCATCAGGAACAGGTGGAGGTACTGGTCAGAGTCTACCTTGGACAAGTGGCGGTTTATAGTCATAATAATTCGTTCCACCATTCCATCGGAATGTGGATGTAAGGCTGTGGTTCTGGTCTTTCGAATGTCCCAACAGTTTACACATTTCTTGGAACAGGTTGGACTCGAAATTTCTGCCCTGGTCTGAATGCAGCTCCAATGGGACACCGAATCGACATATAGATTCCTATACCAGGACGTCAGCGACGGTAAAGGCTTCTGCCCACTTACTGAAGTAGTCCATGGCTACCAGGATGAATTTGTTCCCATGGTCGGACTCTGGGAACGGGCCGGCGATATCGATGACGAATCTCTCAAAGGGACTACCCACGTTATACTGGCGAATTGGAGCTTTCGGTCGTATCCGAGGTCCGTTACTGGCAGCACATACAGGACACTTTCTGCACCAGTCCACCAGTCGGTTTCACAATTAATCCAGTAAAACCGTTGTCTTACTTTCTGGAGGGTCTTCGTTACTCCCAGATGTCTTCCAGTGACTCCATCATGGATTTCTTTGAGCACCTCTCGTCGTCTGTTCCTGAGTACCACTGCCTGGCGCCTTTCTTCTCCACCGTCTTCAGACTCCAACACCCGCTTCAGAACCCCGTTTTCCAGGGTAAGAGAGTTCCATTGGGCCCAGTAGGACTCGACCGCTGGCGAATATGCTGCTACATCCTGCTACGATGGTCTTTGATTAATTGTCTTCCATTCGATGACTAACCAATTTATGGGTCTTTCTCTTGGTCTTCCTCATCTTATTGTCCTCCCAGTTGTCGTCTACAGCTGTAGTTCTACAAATAGCCGCTTCCTTCTCTTCTGCTCGTCGGCAAATGTGAGCAATTATCGGGACGTGGTATCCGTGACAGGGCATCTGCGTTTTTATGGCTAGTCCCAGCTCGATGTTCTATTTCGAAGTCAAATTCTTGAAGTCTCTCGATCCAGCGCGCTACTTTGCTCTCGTGATTTTTGAACTGCAGAAGCCATTTGACAGCTGCGTGGTCCGTTCTCATCAGGAATGTTCTTCCATACACGTATTTGTAAACATGCTCTACACCTTTGACAACAGCCAACAGCTCTCGCATGGTGACACAATAATTGCGCTCTGGTTTACTGAGAGTTTTGCTGAAGTAGCCGATAACTTTCTCCTGTCCATCCTAAATCTAAGAAAGGACTGCTCCAAGCCCCACGTTGCTGTCGTCGGAATCTAGAATGAATTTTCCGTCCGGTAGGGTATAGCTCAAAACAGGAGCGTCAATCGAAACCCTTTTCAACTTCTTGAAAGAGTCTTGGCATTCCTCAGACCACTTGAACTGGATCTGTCGTTCTGTGAGTCGGGTCAATGGTTTGGCGATCTTGGCAAACCCGCACATATCTGCGATAGTATGTGCACAAACCAAAGAAGCTTCGAAGCTGATGTATGTCTTTTGGAATGCTTTGGTCTGCTTTGATCTGCTTTGATCTTTTGTTTGTCTACCGCCACTCCTTCCTCAGAGACAACGTGGCCAAGGTAACGGACTTCTTTCTGGAACAGATGGCATTTCTTAGGACTAAGTTTCAATCCAGAACTCCTCAGACGCATGAATACCTCCTCCAGATATTTCAAGTGATCATCGAACGATTTTCCGACCACGATTATATCGTCGAGAAACACTAGACACGTCTTCCATTAGAGCCCCTTGAGAACCATCTCCATCAATCTTTCGAAGGTCGCTGGAGCACTACAAGGCCCGAATAGCATAACCGTAAATGCCACGATACTGAGCCGATGGTAAAAGCTGTCTTTTCTCGATATTCTGGGGCCAATTCAACTTGCCAATATCCACTGTTCAAATCCAAAGTCGAGAAAATTGTGGATCCGGCTAGCGTGTCTAGGGTGTCGTCAATTATTGGAAGAGGGTAGCTGCCTTTCTTCGTCACGTTATTTAGTTGGAAATAATCCACGCAGAACCTTGTCGAGGTCCCTTTTCTTCGCCAGTACGACTGGGAACGACCAGGGGCTGTCAGAAGGTTCGATAACTCTTTCTTTTCCCATATCGCTGACTCTTATCTGCCTCTTCTTACTTGGCAAAAATAAGTCTTCTAGCTGATTGCCGGATAGGTCGGGCACTCCCAGTGTCGATTCTATGCTGAATCACATTCGTTCTGCTGCCTTTTCCTTCTCCAATATCGAAGATTTTCTGGTACTTCTTGACTAACTCCCTCAATTTTGATCGGTGAGTTGGTGGTATGACCTTGGAGGAAATGTCAATCAACTTCTCCAACCCTTCAGGTAAGTTGTGGGCTTGGCTGAACGAACTGCGTACACTCCGTATCACAGAGGAAATGGACGAACAGTATCCTAGCATTGTTCCTTTCTTCAATATCACGGGAAAGTAGTTGAAATTCATGACCCTGGTCGGTACAACATCAACACGCGACTGGGTCTTCCCCAGTGCAAATCCTCGTCCAGTTTTCGCATCGTGTATCTTGGGCTCGAACCTTACCACCTTTCCGCTGCTCACACTTCCGCCCAGGCGAGCCTCCAGGATTGTTTCAGCCCTCTCAGGTACGCACACGGCCTCAGCCAACAGTACCCTGATCATCTGTTCGGTTCTTCCATGAAGCACCAGCTCTTCTACGCCGACACGTATGTCGCCGTCTTTAAAATTAAGCTCGAACCCTCTGGAATTCATTATGTCCATTCCAATGCTCGCATCGTCCTCGATGTCCGCCACCAATGCTCGATGCTGCCCAACATCAATTCGATTGGTAGTTTAAAAATCTGTTTAAAATATGTTTTTTCGTTAACCAGTTCCTCAAGTACAGTTGCTCCCCTGTTGCGGTGCGTAGCTTCCAACTTGACGGTTCAATTCTTGCCGGTGTTTTGGCTAAGGTTGGCCCAAGAATGGTTCTCGTCGCACCTGTATCTAGCAGCATGGTGCAAGGCTCGTTGCTGATGAGGCCGTCTATGAAAACACCTTTGTCTTGTCGTTGGAGAATGGCAACATATGTGTTTTTTATGGGGGCTTGCTGGGTACACGCCGACGATTGCCCCTTCTCATCGACCCCCTCTAGTTTTTCTGATTTGGTGTTGATTCTTTGAATGCTGGACATTTGCTACGCACATACCCAATTTTCCCACAGTTCCAGCATCTTATTTGTTTTTTCTGAGGCAAAACTTCTTTTATTACCTTTTTAATGGTGGCCTCAATATCAATAGGCACCTGCCCATCTTCTTTGATAGTTCGAACTTTGCTCTGGCTCTTGCAGGATTGTTTTGCAGCCTGAAACTCCGGGGCTCTTGCCAGTGCATTCACGAGATGTTTGGGATGAGCTAGTGGCAGCGGTCCTTCAGCTGTGAATGGTAAACGTGATCTAGGTGGGCCTGCCCATATCGTAGCTCAATATGCTTTATAAGGTGGTCATTGTTAATGTTACCGCCTTTTCTCCTGCATTTTTCCGAAGTGGGAGGCTTCATGGAGAATTTTCCTGGTTCAGAGCTGACTTTGACATCTTTCATTGCCTTTTGCATTGAGTTTTAACATTGCATGTTAAAACACAGTCCGAAATTGAGTTTTCGGTAACTGTCGGAAAAAAATAAATATATGGACCAGATCATCACTAACAAAGTTAAGAGAGAAATCAATGAATTTAAGGAACGTAACAGATGCAATTCAATTCGATTCCTGATTGATAGTAGGCAGAAAGGAAGTAAGTTTAAATTACTTGATAAAGTAATGTCTTGTCTCTTAAATGTAAGCAGTAATATTGCACTTAGATGCATTAAGATATCGAGTAATGACTGTCTTGAAAAATCCACTTCTGTATCTTTTTTAGAGCCCGTGGAAACTCAAAAAGGGCAAAGGTAATTAACAATAACATCACTAGAAGCATTTCTTTTTTCCTACCCAATATTCAATCTTTGCGCCATAAAGCTAATGAGCTGTTTGTATTACTTACAGATAAAAAATTACCAAATATAGTCCTTTTGGCTGAACACTGGCTTTTAGATAAAAAACCATGTTTTATGGAAAATTACATGATTCTCTCCAAATATTGTAGAAATTATGGTCACGGTGGAACAATGATTTTAGTTAATGAAGAATATGTCAGCAAACTACTACCTGAAAATGTAACAAAATATAATTACCTCATAATTGAAAAAGTATTTGAATGTTCTGTATGTTATCTCAAAAAACTAAACCTATATGTTCTTTGTCTATATAGGTCTCCTTCCTCTGATGTGAATCTATTTGTAGAAAATTTAGAAGTATTACTGAGTGACCTTTCATTGAAATCCAATGTTTTCTTAGGAGGCGATCTCAATATAAATTATGTGAATAAAAATTGTTCAGCTACACAAGCTCCTATGAGTATACTACGATCCTTCAACCTCAATATGCACGTCAGATCAAACACTCGAATTTGTAATTATTCCTCCACCTGTATTGACTATGTATGCACTAATTATGACCTAGAAAAAGTCTCATGTACAACTATTTCCACGGATCTATCTAACCATGAAGCTATAGAATGATCCATAATATTAGATGTAACAGAGAATAATAGATATAAATATGGACGACTTTATAGCAGTGCAAACTATAATAGGTTCTATGAAATTGTCTTGAATTTGACTGGGAACGAATCTTACTTTTAAATGAACCATTCGTTGCTTTTTATAACAAACTTTCAGAACTTTTCAGTGCATCATTTCCTATACAGAAAATTGAAATAAAGCGTAAAAAACCCTGGATAAGACCTGGAATTAAGACGTCCTCAAGAAATCTACGGTCCCTTAGCTATATAAGAAAGTTCAGTTTAAATCCAGATTTCCATGCCTACTTTAATAACTACCGTAGAATTTATCGAAATATTCTCAAACTTGTTAAATCTAGCTATTTCCAAAATAGAATTAACTCTTCGAATAATAAAATGAAGGAGACGTGGTCCATAGTAAATGACCTGAGAGAGAATCCTAAAAAAAGGAACAGTGTTAAAATTTCAATCAGTGCAGACGAGATCAATGAGTTCTACTGTTCAATTGCTCGCAAGCTTAATAATAACATAATCGTCCCTTACGACCCTCTTATCAATGTTCATAACTATCATACAGGAGATACTTTTACATTATACGATACTAGTTTTGATGAAATTATCGAAGTGTTTAGGGATATTACGAATAAAAAATCATCTGAATACGATGACATCTCCATGAATATATTTCAGAATCTTCCAAGACTAGCGCTTGAAACTCTTGTCGCATTAATTAATCTTTCGTTTCGCAACGGTAAATTTCCTTCATTCTTGAAAAAGTCTGTGATAATTCCCTTGCACAAAGGCGGAAACTTAGATGATCCTTCTAACTATCGTCCAATATCACTTATACCGACCCTAGCAAAAATAATTGAAAAACTAGTGAAAAAAGGCTCAATGAATTCCTTATTGCTCATAAAATCATCAAAGAAAATCAATTCGGATTTCATGCTAAAAAGAACACCCAAGATGCAATTTTTTCCTTCCTGTATGAGGTATATTCAGATATAAATGCCGGAGATGTAGCTGCAGCAGTATTTTGTGACCTAAAAAAGGCTTTTGACTGTGTAGACCACAAAATACTTTTGCGGAAACTACATTGCTACGGCTGTGAGGGAGTTACTTTGGATTGGTTCGAATCCTACCTAACTGGGCGCAGTTAAGTCGTAAAAATTGATATAACTTCGAAATATATTAATATAGATTATGGAGTGCCACAAGGATCGGTTTTGGGACCCACTCTTTTTCTTGTATATATCAATGATTTACTGTGTATAAATACTTCTGGAAAAATTACCTTATTTGCTGACGACACCACCATTTTATGGCATAGTAAAACTGTTAAAGATTTGAATATAAGCAGAGATATTAATTTAATCAAGGCTCTAATCTTCTCTCTTTTAATATAAAAAAAAACAAATATAATAACTTTCAAATGTACTTTAGAAGATATGCCTCTAGAAAATGAGAAGATTGAAAATAAAGACTGCACAAAATTTTTGGGCCTATATATTGACAGTAAATTGAAGTTTGAAGCACACGTCAATCAATCGAAGAATAAAATCTCCTCAGGGTGCTATGCAATGAGAATTATTTCAAGGGAACTTGGTACTACCACGGCTATGAACGCATATTATGCATTAATTGAATCTCAACTGAGATATGCCATTTCTTTCTGGGGGGTATGTAACTCTACTCTGCTAGATTCAGTACTTAAACTGCAAAAGAGAGCCATTAGATATGTGTTCAAACTAGGACCGCGCAATTCATGTAGGCAGTTATTTGCAGAAAAAAATATATTCACAGTTGTGGCTCTCTTTGTAATGGAAACTGCGTGTCTTATACACAAACATAGGTCAAAATTTGAATATATTTCTTCGTGTCATAGCACTCGCCTAAAATTCAAAAATAATTTTAAATTACCATTGCCTTCTTCATCCCTAGAAAAGGACTCCATTTTCTATAACGATGTTAAAATGTATAATCACTTACCGTATCATTTTAGAAATAGCTACGATAGTATTAACAGCTTTAGAAAATACACAAAAAAACTTCTCGCGAGCAGACCCTATTATAGTTTGCAAGAATTTTACAATGACAACTTCCAGTGAAATTGTAATTTATTGCGGGTACTGTATAGCATACTCGATTAGACTGTTAAATTATAAGTCGTAAAATTGACAAAATGTTCAAATAACATTTCATGATTGATATTTTATTTATTCATTGACACTTATTCTATTGAATAAAATGTATAATTGATAAATGTATATGTTTATATACTGCTTGTTTATATAACAATTTTATTTTTATTCTATTTTATTTATATTTTACATAATTGTGTGTATTTTGCCTAAATTTTTTTTCTGTACGTGTATATTCTACTTTGTCAACAAAACAAGAGTTTTTTCGACAATAAAGTATATTTTGATTGATTGTTTCTGTGGTGTGGGCAGAATTAACTATTTGGTTTTGCAACTTGCTAATTTTTTCCTTCATCTTGCTGTTTTCTGCCTCAACTCCGCCTTTGATTTCATCGTCTATTTTTTTTTTCCATTGTCTTCATTTCTGCCCCGATTTCATATTTGATCTCGCCTTTGATTTCCTCTACTTTCGTGTTCATTTCCTTCCTGATTTTGTCTATATCTGTCTCGATATCCTTTCTTCGATATCCTATCCTTTCTTCGAGTAGACTCGCCACACAACAAAGTTCTTTCTTCAGGCCTTTTGCATTTTCTAGAAGTTCTTCTTTCAAGCTATCCGAATTCTCTAGAAATTTATCTTCCAAACTTATCGAATTGTCCAGAAGCTTCTCTTTCAGGGACTTCGAATTTTGTTGAAGTTCATTTTTTACCCACCGAATTTTTGCAAAGCTTGTCTTTCAAACTCTTCGAATTCTCCAGAAGCTTCTCCTCCAGGCACTACGAATTTTCCAGAAGCTTCTCCTCCAGACTTACCGAGTTTTGTTGAAGTTCATATTTCAGCGATTTGGTATTCTCATCGAACTGGCTGATTATTGAATTCAAATCATCCCCAGAAACTTCGAATAAATATGTTTCGGGATCTTCTCTTGATTCAGTCAAGTTATCTCACAGACTCTTCTGGAATACTGATTTCTTTCCAGAATAATCTAGCTCCCTCTCCTCCATTTCTTGCTTCAATTCGGCGACTTTCAAGTCCAATAGGCGCACTTTCCTCGAACACATTTTGTACCTTATTGTCTATTTTCCACAAAACTGTATATGTCCACTTATTTCAATTGAGTCCGAAAAACACTTATTTACTTTCATGAGTCTATTTTTCGCGAGAAAGATCAGTTTATATTTCCGTAGTCCGGTACTGCCCACTTAGCGGTAGCGCTCAGAGATTTATTTTACAAATCCACTTCTGATCACCAATTATAACAAATTAATAAATTAACTGTCTTAAATAAATGTATTTCCAACAATATTTCACTAATTATTTATTAAAACACTTCTTAGCAACTAACGGTTCATTTATTTTCACTATTTGAATTTCTTTAGCCGCTTGATTCACTTTCTGAACTGCCCTCTTGGGTCGGTAACGGTCGTTTCTAGAATTCTGTAGTCGGTTCGGTACTAGAATTTCACCGGCGATTCCCGACTGCATTGTTTCGCGGTGATGTCATGTCATGTTTGTTCCATGAGTCGGCTGGCGAACTGGTCAGGTGCGTCTTCAAATTCGTTGCAGTAATAAGATTAAAATTGTAAATGTTCTCACAAATAATATATATAAGTTGATCGTAGTAAACATATTTTCATCATTATAGATTACAATTTTTATGAAAAACAAGATCAATGAAGATAAATGAAAATAAATTATTATTGCAGATCCTAAACGAAACCCAACTTTTGAGAGCATCAAACTTAAATACATCATTGCTGACTATATTCTTGGATTCTTGTAAAAACCTTCCCGTAAGTATGTTTTTTCAATGATAAATGGCCTTGAAATTGATATTAAGCTAATTTATGAATATCTGCAATTATTGTTTCTTAGTCATAATGAGCTGAACTATAAACAGTTATTTCGATGTCAAATGGATATTCATATCACTCTGTTTTTTAACTTATAGCAAGCAAGAATGTCGACAAAACCTGACCCCTACGCCATATTAACAGTGGGTAACCACTCAAAACAAACTAAAGTATTGATGAGAACAATCCATCCAGTTTGGGAAGAAGGATTCACATTCTTGTTACCCAATCCTGAAAATGATACTCTATTACTCAGCATAATGGACCAGAAAACAGGTACCGAAATCGGACATCTCAATTTCAAGATAAAGAGTCTGAGTGACAAAACTAATTTGGAAATGTACAAACAACCATTCTCTCTTCTGAGGGCAGGCCCAGAGAGTAAAGTTGTGTGGTCCTTATGTTTAAGAGTAAGTTTTCAATGGTTTTTCTTTTTCATTATTTGTATCAATTGTTCATTCCGTTTCCAGATTTTCAAAAGGAATATTAATGAAATGTTAGGAGACGACCCAGGAATATTAGAGAGAAAAGATTCGAATATTTCTAAATATTCTCTGAGTAAGTTATATTTTCAAATTTCATGATGTTATCGAGTTCACTCAAAATCTATTGAAATCTAATTTTTTAATAAGTTTTATTTATGAACCTTATTTCAAAACTACCATACATTGGAGAGTATATATTCCAAGATGAAATATTGCTTGTCGATGAGAAACAATCGATATGGCCGTAAAATTTCAACTGGATTATAATTATCTATTTGTTTTCAAGTTTTGATGATTTATGATGATTCATGTTTCATCAGCAGCGGTTCGAAATATACCATCCATTCACCTTGTGATATTCATAAAAAAAAATTGTTAGATAAAGAATTTTCTGTTTATATTTTTCTGGTTCCCACTGAAAAATGTTCATGTAATCAGTTTTCTCAATTTTTTTCGAATGCTGAGGGTTTTAATTCGTAATATACGAAGGGTGTTTCCTAACCACGGTACGAAACTTTAGAAGGATGATTCGTTAGGTCGTTTTAAGAAAAAAAGTTCCCAAAATCATATGTTCGGAGTAGCTTCGTTTCTGAGATACAGGGCGTTGAAGTTTAAAAAAAAACTAACATTTCAGCGTTAGTAAAATTATTCATGATGGGATCACTGCAAATTGACAAGTTTGACTTTCACTAATATGAGAACACTATCACTGTTAGCTGGTCTCCAAAGTAGGTGTTCATGATTTACAAAGTGGCTTAAATTTTTTTTCTTGAAAACGAAGCTACATATGAACAAAACAAGCGACGAAAAAGTTGTATTTTTAGTTGATTAAATCAAAACAAAATTACAAGTAAGTGGCGTAGGTACTTGTTTCCCAATATTGTTGGCTGTGGTGCCCATTGGACCTAATAATTTCAGTCTAGTCAGGGCTAAATATGCGCCTTATTACTTCAAATAACTGTAGCAAATTTCAACCAAATCCGTGGAAGGATATTTTATAAATACCGTTTTTTTTTATTTCAACGCCCTGTATCTCAGAAACGAAGCAACTCTGAACATATAATCATAAAATCTTTTTTTCTTAAAACGACCTAATGAATCACTCTCTGAAGTTTCGTACCATAGTTAGGAAACACTCTGTAATTTATTACACATTTCCAATAAACTTTGAAAATAGTTTAATTGTAATAACTTTTCCTGTAAGTTTCAAAGGTTACATCTACTTGAATCTTTGGAAATTTTTTGCTTCAACATGTAGTTGCCATAAGGAGTCGTTGAGAGATTTGTATAATGTAGGAATTGAAATTAAAAGAATAACGACGAAAAATTCTGTAAAAAAATGTGATACATGATGATATGATCAGGTCAGTGATACCTAGGTTGGAGTTGTTTATAAAAGTTCTGGTGTTTTTAAGGAGATACTTTTATTCAAGTTCAAAACTCAATGACAGGGATTTTCAAAAATACTAATTCAACAATCATTTCATACAGTCATTGTTCACCATGGTTCTGGCGTTGAATCTGGTCATTATTATGCATTGGTCAAAGACGAAACAGACTGGTTTAAGTTTGACAATAGTCGTGTCACCAAATATAGCCTCTATTGACACCCTACATTCATTCTATGAAAGAGAGGACATTGGCAGATCAAGATCTTCAGATGAAAAAGCAAAGGCGTCACTGGATTCGATCAAGTCGTCCCGGAGCCCCAATTAATTTTTGTTGTTGTTTCATAATTTGTATTACTTTCTTCTTTAATATGTTACTATTGAATAATTATTTTCAACTCAAATTCAAAAATAGTTAAATTATATCAAATATAACAGTTTGCTGCTCTTTTACTTTCAACGTGTTTCAAAATTAAGCCCGCGCCACCATATACTTGTATACTTGAAATACTTAGAATGTACCAAAATCCAAGCTAAAAGAACTTTCAGAAACATTTATCTTTTTTTTATCACAATACAAGAACAATTCCTTCTGTGTTATTCATGGTTTTCAGAAAATGTTTAAAATCCTGCATACGTACCTAATACCTTTATTTTTTTTCTCTCCAAAAAAAAATTGTTATCATCTAAGTTAGATCCATTTTCATCATAGTCATCGTCGTCACTAGCCTCCTGCTCCGTATCTGAATCGCCTTCACGAGATTCGACAGCATATTCACCATCTGTATCATCTTCATCATCAATATCGTCCTGTATATCGGCTTCATCATCTTCAAACATCATTCTTTGTACCTCTTCAACATCTTTAGGATCCGTTAGATCATATTTTTTACTACAGCTTTCCATGTTCAACTTATTTCCAACCTAAAACACATATAATTACGTTAACATAAAAAAAATCTTCAATCGGGCCAGTGTATCAATTTGATATTTATAGAGTACGTATGTGAAAAATATAATACGTGAATGATAAAATGTAAACAATTGTAGTATAAATCGATAACACTTACCAAAATAATTGACAAAGTAACAAATTTGCAAAATTTATTTTGTAACGGGTATAGGCGCGGTGTATCAATCTGAACAATATTCAGATATCTTCCTCGTACCAAAGATTATTTAGAACTAACTGGTCTCATTGCGTAGATGGGTGGGAGGTAGGAAGCTACTAGTGATGGTAACTGCCGACTGTTTACGAGTCCAAAGTACCAGCACAAAACATGGGCGTTGTATCAATTTGATCGGCCGCGCTCGACGGAAGGTTGAAAGCGATTCAAATATATTTTGTGATTCATTTCTATCTTAAATTACATTCTTTGAAAATTATGAAAAATTTTGTATATCACTACAACACTCTCAAGCTAAACGGCTTTCGAAAAGTGTCATATACTATTATGAACATATTCATTAATCAAACTTGAGTTTATTGTATACGTTAAAGGATATCCTTACAGGACGTAACTTCAGTAATGTTAGTTACAAATAGAAGTGGTAAAAAAAACATAGAAAGTTCCATTTCTTATTTTTCATGATGGTCTCCTACCACGTAGTAACGGCTACATTCATCAATTTATTCATTAATCATCAATGAATGGTCATGTATCTTCAAGAAAACATAATAATATATGAATAAACTGACCAGTGCAGTGAAACACGTCTTTAATAAAATCAATAGTTTGAAAATTGTATAATCATTACCAAGTATAAACAAAATATAATTCGTTAAGATCATTATTTTTATATAGCATCAGAAAATCAGGCATCAACTCCATTGATCAACGAGCAGCCGATTCAGCCAGATGTCCATCAGAGTGAAGACATACAAATTGAAGGAATACTGGAAGATTCATCTATATCGACAGTGAGCAATGTACTGCCTACGGAAAATTCCGATGTATTGTACCGCAGAACACCCAGCGTAACATCGTAAGTGTAGTTAATCACTGGAATTTCCTGATTTATTATATATTTGAGTCATACCTGTGTGTTTTTTTAACTTTTCAATGTACTATTATTGTTGCAGTGTGAAGCGTTTCAGTCTCCCTTGAACAGATGAGTTATTTCTTTCTTTCTCTAAAGATCAGAATATATGACAGAATGTATTCTTTCATCTATAGAAATTAATATCATTTTTCGTTTTGATTTCGACTTACGAATATTCAAAATACAAACTGAGACACAGCTGACAACAGGATAATTTTTTATAGGAAGTTTCCGTACTGTTTGTATGGGAGGAAACATTTTTCAAATAATGTAAATGATTCCCTGAATATTTTTATCAATTTTGGGGAAATTTATTCCTTTCAAAGTTTTTCGTTGAAATGAAGGGATTTGAGTTTTTGCAGAAATATAAATATTCTGTATCTGTATGACAGACAAGGAAGAGGGGGTGAACTGAGTTGTCCATGTCATTGACATTATCGACTTCTCCTGAATTCGTTTTATGACATCAATGCTACTTTGATTAGTTTCTCATACCACTTTCTGTTAGTATAATGACGAATGGTAATAATGCATTAAATTATTTTTTTTAAACTATCACCTGCGTTTGTGTAATCTACTCCAATAATTATCCTTTACACTTACATATATGTAAAACAAATGCCTTATGTTCCCGAGATCAATCCTAAACTCAAGCTAAGGCCACTAGGCACCATTATGGTCACTCATTCACTAGTAACCTACTCAGCCTAAAATTATGTCAAAACTCACTAATAATACTATCCAGTAATATTTCGTTTGGGCCAAAGCTTCTAACTATCTACATTTTTCGAATATTCAAGGTGGTAATTCTATGGATGAATATGAGAAGAAAACTCATAAATTCATATCCTACAAGGCTGCTTGTAATGTACTAAACCACCGTCGGTCTAAAGCGATTCCTTCATGTCCTAGTGATATCATATAATAATTAATCATCCCCACAAGAAAATGCACACCCCATGTACAACCTTACCGATTAACCTACCACCTCGAGTCAATTCACCACCACGACATTTCCCGACCAATCAGCAAGTTTTCGGAAAACCGCAAAACGTTTGGGACCCGACAAATATAATCAAAGACCATCGTACAGATAAGATTCAATACCAGTGAGTATTTCAACACGAAATACCCACCAACATAATCATTTTAGACCTCAAACTTCTCGCTCAACTTTCACGTTCGAAGAACTTTTCAATGTTAACATTAAGAAAAAGTTTATAATTGTGAAATACCCGAAGAATACAATGAATACTACAACAAAGAATAAGAAGTATGTGCTGAAGATTTCATTAATGAAGAAATGTTGAAGCATGAAAAAGAAAATTTTCCTGAGGACGTCAACAAAACACCAGAAACGTAGTAGAACTATACAGCTTCACCGATAAGAAAAAACTGCCCTACATAATTATAAGCAATCCACCTTTGAAACTTTTGATTGATACAGGCTCCACAAAATCATTTTTCAACTCTGAAGTGGCTTTTAAGTTTTTCAAAAATTGCATTAATCACGAGCCATTTGTAGTAACTTCAATTTTTCAAAAATATTCTCAAGACTATTGTGCCGAAATTCCTAGTTTTTTCAGAATTCAACAGTAGCTCCGATTTGAAATTTTATCAATTTACATTTCACAAAGTTTTTGATGGACTAACTGGTTTAAATAATTTGAAATTAATACAAGCACAATTAGATTTCATTAACTCGAATCTTATTCCTGCATTCGAAACGTTGCACATTTTTTACCACAAAACGAATAATAATCAGTCTTTTCTGTTCAACTCGAGCCTCATACAATTACATGTCTCAGGTTACCACAATGCGAATCTACTATCATATTACGACAACAAAATATTCAAGAAGCAAAATTACGAGAACAATTAACTATCACATGTAATAATCTTGCGTTGGTAGAACTTATCAATTATACGGATTTTGAACTCAATATAGCACTGACCGACTCAATAAAATAAATAAAATTTGACATAGGTCAATTCTATTTATTTACGGCAGGTATTTCAACAAAATCGTCGCACCATTTGGATATAGAAAAATCAATCACAACAGAACATTTGAACGAGAAAGAGAGAAGACATATACAACGGCTATGTAAAAAATTATTCCGACATTTTGTACGTGCCAGACACACCACTATCGTTCACAAATCAAGTGAAACACTGGATCAGGACAAGAGACGAAATCCCTGTTTTTACCAAATCATACAGATATCCACATGTACACAAGCCGGAAGTGGAAAAGCAGGTAAACTCAATGTTGGATCAGGGAATCATCAGCTAAGCCAGTAACCCTGGTTTTCACCTATATGGGTCGTCCCAATGAAAGCAGACGCTTCTGGACAAATCAAATGGAGGATCGTCGTAGATTATAGAGAAGTGAACGAGAAAACTATCGATGATAAATATCCAGTCGCCAACATCAATGACATATTAGACAAGCTAGGACGATGCCAATACTTTACTACTTTGAACCTAGTCAGTGGCTTTCACCAGATTGAGATGGCGGAAGAGGATATTCCAAAAACAGCCTTCACAGTTGAGCACGAGCACTACGAATACACCAGGATGCTGTTTGGGCTCCAGCCAGCCACTACAAGGAAAAATATGTCTTACATATATGGACGACATTATTGTGTACTCAACTTCATTGCAGGAGCATATGATCAACCTCTCCAACGTCTTCGAAAGGTTCAGAGAAACAAATCTGAAGGTCCAACTAGATAAATCGGAGTTTTTGCAAAGGGAAGTAGCGTTTTTGGGACTCATCATCACTTCAGAAGGAATTCGACCAAATCCACAAAAAATTGAGGCAATCTTATCCTTTCCATTTTAGGCCTCAAACTTCTCGCTCAACTTTCACGTCCGAAGAACTTTTCAATGTTGAACATCAAGAACAAGTTTATAATTGTGAAATACTAGAAGAATACAATGACTACTACAACGAAGAATATCAAGAAGCATGTGCTGAAGACTTCATGAATGAAGAAATGTTGAAGCATGGAGAAAAAAATTTTCCCGAGGACGTCAACAAAACGCCAGAACCGTAGTAGAACTACACAGCTTCACCAATAAGAACCAACCGAAATGAATACGATAATTCAGACGATGGCTCGACACCATACAACTAGCCAACTATTCTATACTAAAACAGAAAACTTCAGAAAATATTACGATTTGATCACTGTCGATGCTTATTATTCCAATGCAATAATCGTGTTGTTCTGCACTTTCCTCTCCTCCATCCAGAAAAATTTACACATTTCCATTTATATTCAATCCCTACTAGTAACTTTACCACCATCATACCTCCAGCACCGTATCTGACATTGAATACTGGACTACACCACTATTCGCAGATACCATGCAAGAAGATCAACCATGGATTCCTTTGCCAAATTTTAATCATTCGAGGCGACCTTCAGCCACGAGATTGCATTTCCCAAATTTCACACCTCTGAAGATGAAGCCAGATGCCAACAAGTTTCGGTATCAATAAATGGTACCCTGATAGAGGAAATCACACCAGCTCACTATGTCGGTATATTCCCAAAGCCAACAAAAATATTTACTAAATGTTCCACTCCCGGAATGCAGGATTTGCACGGCACCTACCTTATGGAAGTGCCTCCAGGATGCGGATTTGAGACACCTGACCCAACTACATCAATTCCAAGGACATCACATACGAGCAGCCCCTAGCCTTGCCAAAAGTCCGAACAATTTCAATACCATATGAGAAGAAGATACTACTTATCCTATCCCCCTAGATGAACTTCACAAAATTCACGAACAAAGCCTATTGCAACCCCTAGGTTTTGAGGATATTTCAGTCGACAGTACACACTTTTGGACTACCCCTGTATTCATCATTGCTACAGCGGTAATTGGGAATTTTGCTATTCAAATTCCGTCACACCCTACGATGCCAGAGGATCTCTGAAACACCACCAGTACCAGCTACCAGGATTCAAGTTTTATTCCACCTTCATAAAACTTCTTCAGGGGATGGAGAAGTTACAATCTGAATCCACGGAGATTCGACAACGTTCACGATGGGTCAGCGATACTCGACACTGCTGACGAAGATGAACTTGCATTTTTATTCTTATGAGAATTTTCATTTTTATATTCAGTCTGACTTGATACCCCCTTATTGTAAAACGTGTTTTTGAATGAAATAAACTTTTTAAAACTCATTTTTTCGAAAACACCAACTCTTAACTTACGTGTCACTTCAACAGCTATTTTAATTATTCATCTTGGCTATCTCGAATGTTAGCAGACGATTTCATTCATTTCCATATCGGGTAGTTGAAATTTACGATGTTTTGGTCTCGTCTGTGACATTCGGCCTCTCAGAAAACTTTTCTTTTAAGTAACTCTTGAGAGATATTTTTAATGGGGTTTACAGTGGATAATATCTTTTCCTCTCAGAGTCATCCGTAGAATCTCCCCATTGAACATTCACATGATATGTAGAAACACCCTGTATATTAGCCCATATTCCGTGTTTGATTCCGTATCTGTTTGATCCCAGGGTGAAACTCACCAAGCTTTTTTTGACGGTTAGTAATATGAACCGAGATCTTGTTGAAACTGTATTGTAGTATCCTCACAAGTGAATTTCAGTTTATTTTGAGAATTACATTCTGTCTGATTTCTTTCAACGGGAAAAATTTTGAAATGATTCATTACATTTTTTATTTTATTCACGAGCTATTTTTCACGTTTGGTAATCGGAATCAAGAAAATGGCGTGAAAACTCTAGAATACAAGGTATCAATTCGAATTTTTTTTACACTGGATATCTTTTTTCCGGAAATACTGTGAAAAATCAAAATTTTGAAGCTATTCATCAGTTTTATTTTCGAGAGAAAGAGTTATTTAGAATATTCAACGCATAAAAGCTCAATACAATAATTTTTCATTAGTTCGGACTTCCATTATCTAATATGATATAAAATGGTTTGAAATCCCTGAAACATCCAATACAATTGAAAACTAAAAATGAATAGCTGAGAATAACAATTATATTAATATTATAGTAATGATAGTTACAAATACAAGTGGTAAAAAAAGATAGTTCTAATTTTTCATTGATTGAAAACCTGAAAGAAGCATTATCTCCAATGCAGGACAGTTATTTATTTATTTATTATTCAAACAGGCCTACAAGGCCTTATTACATGAATTTAAAAAAATTAAATATACATTTAATTTGATACATGCATATGGCTTACGTGCTCAATTGAAGTTTCTTGTGAACTGTGTAACGAATTTTTTGAAAGCGCTCAATGAAACTGTCCAATCTATATCCATCAATAAGTTGAATGTGTTGGCTAGTCGCAACATGATTATGAGCGGTGACCTAACAGTAGTACAAACTAGGGGGATATTTTGAACATAAGAGAATTTCTCATTCTTCTTGCAGGCACATTAAATATTATCCGTGTAAGGAGTTCAGGAGAGTTGACTCCATCCAGTATTTTGAATAGAAATATTAAAATTGATTGATTTCTTCTATCGACCAGAGACATTATTCTGAATTCATTTCTCAGTTGTGTTGTTCTAACTATTCTGTAGTCAGGATAGATACGATATTTATGGTAGTAGTACAAAAATCTCAAAAATTTGTTTTGAATTTTTTCTACTTCGAAAAATGTAGTTTGATATTCTCCTAACCAAATTTCTGATCCGAATTCAAGTTTCGTTCTGACTAATGTGTAGTACAAAATCTTTATAGAGAAGCTGGAAAAATATGATGTTTGTCTTACTATGAAGCCTAACATACGGTTTGCCGATTTAATTATATTTTTTACATTGCATCATGTAATCAAATGTTATCGGATATCTTAACCTTGTTATTCTCATAACACTGCATTTTTTCAGGTTAAAAAATAATTTATTTTTACAACTCCACTCGCAAACATATTGCAAATCTTTCTGCAATATAACAGTGTCTCCGATAGATTCATTTTTTTTTTTTTTGAGAACATCTTCAAATAACAAACAGTTTGAGTGCTTGAGAACTGAGGGCAAGTCATTAATAAACATAACGAAGAGTAAGGCTCCTAAATTTGAACCTTGTGGTACTCGAGAATTAGTTTCATATTTCCCCGAGGTATTTCCGTTCTTAACCACTGAAAATCTATTTTCAAAATTACGTCCAAACATTTTGAGTGTGCTATCAGAGAGTCCAAACTCATTCAACTTTGTTGATAGTACATCGTGATCAACTTTCTATAGAAATGAACTTCAAATGTTCAAGCCCGTCTTGGATATACCTACACAGTAGGTTGAATGTACTGATGCCTATCAAAAAACAACTACTCCACTGGCTAATACCACGAATATCGTTGGATTATCCGACAGGTCAGTGCAGGAATCTTCACAGAAAATTTCCTGCATACGCAATTGGCAATACAACTGAAAGAATCAACCTTCAATTTTAGAACGGGCACACTTGCAAACCGGTTTCGGGCTCCTTAGCCACTCGTCAGTGCAAGATAGTGACCATCATCGACCTAAAGTCAATGATATTCCATAATTGAAAATCGAAATTTTTTCAGAGCATTTCATTCCTCGTCTTAAGTTGATCAAAAATGTCACTCCATCTAGTGGACGAGGTACTAACCAACTGCATATCCGAAATTTGTCCGATTCCTCTGAATAAGGAAGAAAAACTTTTTTTATTAGTCAGTGGGCTATGTTTGAAGACAGGCAGTAAACAAATCAAAAGAAATGAACTTTAAATGCTCAAGCCCGTCTCGGATATACCTACACAGTAGGTTGAATGAACTAACGCCTATCAGAAAACAACTACTCCATTGGATACCACGAATGGCGTTGTATTATATCCGACAGGTCGACTCTTTCAGTTGTATTGCCAATTGCATATGCAGGAAATTTTCTGTGAAGATTCCTGCACTGACGCCTGTCGGATATAATTCAACGCCGTTCGTGGTATTAGTCAGTGGAGTAGTTGTTTTCTGATAGGTGTCAGTCCATTCAACCTACTGTGTAGGTATATCCAAGAACATTTGAACATTCAAAGTTCATTTCTTTAGATTTGTTTACTGCCTGTCTTCAAGCATAGCCCACTGACCAATAAGAAAGTGATCAACTTTGTCAAAGGCCTTTTTAAAATCAGTAAATATTACATCGAGTTGTGACTTACTCTCAAGTGTTTCATACCCTGTAGAAACAAAACTGAATAGATTTGTATTAACAGATTTTTTGGAAACGAAGCTAAATTGCTGAGGCGTTATACTATTCTCAACATATCCATATATCTTGAATATATAATTTGTTCAAATGATTTAGAAGTTGCCGGCATTATTGATATAGGCCTGAAATTTTCAATGTCCATCTTGTCACCTGATATGAAAATGGGAGTAACTACAGCTGTTTTCCATAAATCCGGAAATTGATTTGTTGTCAGGATTAAATTGAAAATATGTAGCGGAGGTGTTGCTAACTACTCATTTACACCTTTCAGTATATAGCGTGGAATACCATTTATTCCAGCTGCCTTCTTAGGTTTCAATTTTTTGATTGCGTATTCATAGTTTTCATATTCAGTTACAAGTAATTCTAGAATCAAGATTTTTCAGAAACGCTTCTTCAAAAAATAATTGAGGTACAATTGAAAAGAGAATTGAAAACCCTAAGGTGATGTGCTGCTAGGTTCATCTTCACAGGATTCTAAAAATACCATCTTCCTTTCATTTGGGGTTGGATGAAAGATATTAAAGTTGAGACGTTTTGAAATTGACACCCCGAATGATAATAATAATAGCTTCTCTAATATATAAATAAAATACTTGGCAAAATCAGAAATGTGTTGGGGATATTAAGCTGGGGCTACTCTCTCTATGAGAAATAGTATTAATAGAAATAATAATGAAAGTAACAAAAAGTATCAACAAAAGTATAAATTCAAGATAATATAATATATTTCAATCCATTTCGTTATTGAAAAAGTCATAAAATGGCAACTTATTTCTTCAATGTACCACCTCAGTGTAGTGATTGATGTACGATAAATTTTCAGATCTGCAGGAGAAGCTGGTCTTGGACGAATCCAAATGACTTTACGGTATAGCGTACAGAGACAACGTCTCATTGTTGTGGTCCATAAAATCATGTGAGTATGGAGGTTTTTTTCATACTAAATATTTTCATGGATACTTTTAAGGAACATACCTCTCAAAGATCCCTCAAATATACCTGATCCTTACGTGAAGCTGTACTTACTGCCAGAAAGAGCAAGGGATACAAAACGAAAGACTCAGGTTTGTAAAATTGCTGTTTTTATTTTTTCATCATTCTGAAAATATGGACCTCAAAATCAACGGCTTCTGGTACAAAATGTTACAATCTTAGATGAAACATAACAAACAGAAGTATTATCAAAATACAGAAAATGCCGAAAAATGTTCACATATTATTCGTATTTCCCTATCATAATACATTTTTCGCAGAAAGTTTATTCAAAAATTCGGTGTAGTGGGAGACTTGGAAACTTTCAAACTCCAAATTCTACAATTTTGATCGGATAATTCAATAGTGTGACTACTGCTGAGGTTCGATCAGAAGTAGAAATCGACTCCTTCAACAGTTAGTCAGACATTTATCTTACCATGATACATAAAAGTGTCCATTATTTGATCCTGCTGAATACAGACACATAACCTTAATCAAATTTTCATAAAAATTATTCACTTATATTCTCTTTTTTTGTGTATCCGGAAAATTCCTTTATTTTTTTTTTCAATCAACTCATTGTTGATACTGAATAATTTTTGAAGACTAGACTTCCTAACTTCACGTTTGTGTTGATAAACACAAATACAACAGACCTCCCACTTTCGATAATTATTAAATTGAATGGCCCTAAGGTATCTACTAACCTCACCCTAAAAGTTACACATTTCACTTTTTCAAACTGATCATTAATATCAATCAAAATGTCCCAAAGGTTTGAAACAACTTCATTTTCAATGAATATTTCAGATGTTGAATACTATATTGTAATCGATGCCTTATAAGAATAAACGACCTTCAATCCTAATTCTATATAGTGGGTTGATCTTACGTTCAATGCCCCATGCACCAACTAATTTATGGCATAACAAAGTTATGGAATCTATATAGGATTTTATCATCTTTACATTTAAAATTTCCTGAAAATGAAACTTTTTCTTATTTTCCCCTCTCATTTTTCTCTAAGACGTTTGGTTAAAAAAATCCCAAACATAATTAGTTTCTAAATTTGTGAAGGCTGTACTGGACTTTTTGAGAAAATATCCGCCACTAGAGTTGTTTTAACTTTTTCCGATTTTCACATGCACCACTTAAGAATTGACGGCATTTAGCTGAAACTCATTTTTTACTTCAGAACTATAAAAATTATATATTTTCAAGAGGTACAATACTTTTTGAAATAACTTTTCCCTCATCAGAACAAAAATAATATCTCTTGAAGCGTGTTTTGCTCAACACCTTGGCATAATCATTAGGAGATGAAGACTAATTCATCTCCTGATTGGTGAAAAGTATTTTCAATAGATTAATTTTACGCTAGAGGTTCCCAAATTCTACTTTTTGAAATACCATATGCCCCCTGAAAATTGTGTATGGGCTTGCTGTCTTTAAAGACCATTTTTTCTTTACACTTCATCAAATCTTATAATAAACTTCATCAAATGAACCCATTTTCTTTCACATCACAGTTGAAGTAAGTTTTTGCCAACTCAAAAGATTAGACTGCGCTGCATTTTATGCATTTTATTTTAATTTTCTGCTACAACTCATATAGTGAAACAATAATTTTTTTAATTTTTTTATGATACACTGAATCACATTCTGTGTATATCAGTTTCACCAAAACTTTGTTGTACTCTTATTCTCGCTCTTTATAGTATTTATGAAAATTTCAATTTGAGAAATTACATTGCTGGATATGTTGAAATATCACAATTTTCGTTTACTGGTATAGTCGATTTCAATACGAACATCATTATGATGGTTTGACTTTTTTCGGTTTTTTCCCCATTCATCAAAAGCTTTTCATTCTTTTTCGTGAAATATTCTTAATTTTTGGACCAGTAATTGATACCGCCTCAGCTACTTTCTTGTGTAATTCGGAAGGCATTCCCATTTCTTGCTTCACGTCCTTTACGTCTTTGTCGCACATCGTTTCGTGCATTTCATCCAGTTTTTTTTTTCGATGCAGAAATCAATAATTTCCATTGCAACCTCCTAGCAGATCATATTTACTGAATCATTTTTCTCAACATTTTCTGCAAAATGTGTGATATAAAAAAAATCAAATATTATACTTAAAGATAAACTGCTTCATCTACTTGTAAAACGATCATTGACACATCTATGGAGCATTTTTTTTATCATCATATAATGATTAACTATAATCACCCATTACTTTGTCATTTTCCATATAATCATATCTATAATTTTGCTGCAATTTATCTGTGAATTTGAGTAACACTCCAAATTGATTTTTCTCATCAATATGTAATTATATAAACATTTCAGGTGGTCAAAGATAACTGTAACCCTGTCTTCGATGAAACTTTTGAATATGTTCTGAGTCAAGGAGAAATAGGATCGAAACAGTTAGAAGTTACGGTTGGCACACAAAAGCAGCTGTTTTATACCAGTAGCAACATTTTGGGTCAAGTATGTATAATAATAAATAATTCCCTTTCAATTTAAATAATATTTTTAAAGGATAATAAAAAAGAGTCCACATGAAAACGGCTTTTTGAAAAAGTGCTAAGTGACAAAAAAAATTCAAAAAATAATATATTAAATCAATGGTGTCACAGAATACTAATTCAATTGTAGAGCAAAGAGAAGTTTGGGGGGTTTTAGAGGTTCGATATCCCCCCAAAAATTTGTATGGGCTGAACAGATTTCGTGGTTTGAAATTACAATGAGAAAGTCATGGAACCATTTTCTTAAAAAAAAATGTTAAACAGTTCTAGAAATATTGGAATAAATCGATTTTCATTTCATGCTTTCCAAAGGGAGTAACTTTTTTTGTGTGCACATTTGCATCAAACTGAGTAATATCCAATTGAGTAATTTTTTACCTCAGAAAATATGTGGTTCAATTTATGACCCACCTTTTTGTTACACTCTTTATTTTAGTGAGATAAGAAAGTGATAATTTGGGTTTTATCCAATTTCACAATTATATTTGTAACAGAAACTTTATCATACATATTCTTTAAAAAGTATATACAAATACTTGTAATAAAAATCAGTTTTCCTAGTTGGAGTACTCTTATAATGTATAGCCATCTAACTCTATAGATGGCTACAAGAAACTTATGTTGAAGTTCCTTCTGACAGAAATTAATAATTTTTCAAAAGTTTTCAGTATGGAAAATAGTGTTCCACTTAGGTTTTCATTGTTATGATAAATAGAAAGGTTTTATTGGATTTTGAATGGAAATACATGCAAGTAGCCTATTGTGTATTATGTAGGATTAAAAAAATTATTGAGCACACCGACCCTGTTTAACAAATATACTCATTAGTATTTTAATAATGATTTACTTTCCAAAAAAGCATACATGTTTATAGTAGCAACAAACAGTAATTGGAAATTATAGCATAACTTAGTTCAAATTATTTACTTGTCCCTTTATTATAAAAATTGGGATATTCTCCCAAGAAAATCGTCTTCAATATCAACGTAAATTCTATCAATGTGTAACGTATTCGATTTTGAAAATTCTTCAGAGATTCATAAGGTACTTTTTGATGTTACTTTTTTACAAAATTTTTGATATATCTTTTTTTATTTATTTTTTCACATTCAGCTTAATGTTCAATATTTTCATTTAATGGTCACTCAAATTATAGTTGATTATTAACAATTCAGAAGGTCTTGAAGAATTGGTAACTATATGGTCAGTTAATAATGTATTGCTTCTTTTTTTTCAACGTATCTCAATGCGATATTATCTTTCATAGACTGAAATTATTCGATTGATAGGTATATACAATTTCTTTTTGGTCAGAACTGTTACTGACTGAGTTTATACTCATATCAACCACTCAATCTTTCAGCTAATGTAGAAATCTGTTTTTATCCTCATTGGTAGAACGGTGAACTTCTACAATTATCAATTGAGCTAGTTTAACAGCCATAAACAGAAACTGAGAAGATTCGATATTGATAACTTCAGTCGAGAGATGTTGTTCAATATGTTAAAATACTTGTAACTTTCACAATAACATCATCTGTAGCATGGCATATTTTGTGAGTTTTCTTGAATTTTTCATTTGCCAATAAACAGTTTACACATTTTTTATCATTTTTGTTTTTGTTACATGTTCACCAGCACAAAAAAATACATCACATTGGAAGCATTCTGTTGAAATATTGTCATACACAATATAGGACTGTCAACAAAGAAAGAGTTTACTGCCTGGATTGATTATTTTTTGAAAAGATTTTCATTCACTCTTGGTGTAGAAATTTTCAAAATGTATTCGACATGGTCAATTTCAAAGCTATCTTCATTAATAATAATTATATCAATTTGTACAATGACATTTTTTTGAGTTGATCTGGGCCCAAGGATTTTTCTAATTTAACACCAGTAATATTGATTTTAGGCTGGTTCATCGTATTTTCTTGAATTTTATGGTAAATTTCCTCTTTAAGTTTCTTCGAATCAGTTCTTGAGTAACATTGAATTTGTATGGCTCTTGGCAGATTATTCACCACATCAATTTTCACTTTTAGTGTCACGGGATCAAGTTTTTCTGTAAGATTTTTTTGTGAACCTAACCATGATACTCTATAATTGTACTCTGTACCCTGTATATTGGAGAATATTTTAAAAAAAGCATTAGTATATAAAACTTGTACGAAACAGTTTAAAATAACTTCATCTCAAACTTCTAATGAAAGATCGATGTAACATTGTATACTAAAAATTATACCATTTTATTTCAAAAGTAGTTTGTAGATGAATTGTTCTTTTTCTTGTCAATATTTTGATTCAAACCGTGCATGTTTTCAGACCATGAGCAATGTTCAAATAATTCATTTAAAAATAGCTTATCTCGCTACTTCATTTGCGTGGACTTCATTTGGGTTTTCTCAGATTTTTCAACATCAAAAAGTTTCAATGCATTTGTTTATCTTTGATCGATTTATAAGAAAAACGTACAAACTATAAATATATAGTTAACCAAAATTTTAGCCAAATAAACAATCAACTGAAATTATTTTCATAATATTCTATTCAATGTTTGACGTGATTCTTTCATTTGAAATATTTTCATTCATGAATCATTGAAATAAATCAAAGATTAAAGTGTTAAAACCGCATCCAAATCCGTGAGGCCCTTTTTGAGGTCAACGCGCATAAATGCACATATGAACAAATACAGACAAACAGACAGCGATCAGTTAAACTTTTATTATTTGTATTGATAATTGATACTCTCAACTCTCTCTATGAAATTATTGCCCATATTGCTTCTGAAACCAACACAATAACATTTCGAAAAAGTCGCGCAAGTTCAATTATTTTTATTCTACGAGAAAAAAATATTTCTTGTCAACTGAGAATAATTTGTGTGAACTCATTTTCAGGTGATAATAGATCTGGGAAAACTCAATCTAACTCAACCCTACAACGTATGGTTTGACTTGCAACCAGAAACAGATTGAGTTCAGTGTTCTGGAACAGCTTTACACTCGCTTCATGGAGATTTATATGTCGGCAATTCATGACAATCTCTATTTATATAATTCAAGATTTCAATGTCTAACTTTTCATTAGTTCATTGAACTGTTGCATTTTTTGGTGTATATATTTTGTACTTACTATATGTGTACTTGCTGTATTTTTTGTTGTCTCATTCTTACATGTATTCTTCATGCTCTCAAATGAAATGTTGAATAATCTGTGTTGGAGCGAGAATATAACTCTCTTCTATTCATACTGTTATACTGATGAATATATTTTAACCCATAAAAATTATGAGAAAACTTTTTTTTTATTCTATTATCCATCCAACACGCATTCAGACAGATAAGGACCAATAGTGCATTATTGTCAGTCACTCTAGTAGATCTCGAAACATCATACATTTAAAAAAAAATTTTTTCATAACAAATGAATTTTGAAACTGAAAATGCATGATGTATAATCACTAGGACTAGTCTAAATATGAAGGGTCTGATATATATCAAACCTATTCAACAACCTTAATTCTAGAGGACTTCTGTCAGAGTTAATTCTCTTGATGCTATAGGGTACTGATATTTCTTCCACACAGATATTGATCAGCCCCGAAGTCGATCTTATTCACTAGAGTTTGTTGATTCTCTTACCAAATATAATGCAAACCGACGCATATTACGAATTCATGATTCAACACCCGCCTATTAAGCGTTTCAAAAACATCGCATATGATTTGTAATGGTGTATGGGTAAAAATCGATTTGATGTACGTCTATACGGATTCTAAATTGAAAGTGAAATTATATTGAATTTGTCAAAAATTTTCATTGAAAAGCTGTGTTCTCCATTCACTTTAATTAATTTCTGTATTATTGTTGAAACGTTATTAATTTTTTATTGAAGTAGGCACTTAAACTTGTTTGGTCTATATACAAGTTGAGTTGAATGATAATTGTTATCATTAGCAGTTGCAAAAGTTTTCTAAAAACGTTTTCTCATCAACATCACAATTGGTTGTTCAAAAATTCTTTCTTATCGCTCATAATCTTTTTATCAATAGTAAAATACATACATTACTTATCGAATATATTGTTCTTTGTCACGCAACTATTTTGATTCATTATAAATAATCTTTATAAAACAGAAGAGATAATTTTTGAAATGTCTATGCTTATGTGTTAAAACTAAAAACCATAAAAAATTAGTTTCACGATTTTTTCTTATTTTTGGATTGGAATATGGAAGTCCGAACTAATGAAATTCATCAATTTGTAGGACAGAATCAATAGTGGTTAGTGAGAAAACTATGAAGGAGTTCTAACTTACAAGTCAGGACTCTAAGTTTCGAGTAATGGAAAGTGGAACTAGTGCTTTTCGATGAAAAACTATCATGCAGATATCACAGGAAAACCCAGAACATTCCTTAGAGCACTGGCAAAATATTGTAGGTTGTTCCACCCTGTCTGCTCTGTTACTCTCATCATTTTTGTAAATATACCAATAGTAACAATAATAATAACATTTATTTTCTATAAGACATAAACATACATGTATTGGAATAGTCAGGTATGTGAATACAAAAGAATCATACACGATTTCTCGTGTCAATGCTATGATAGGAGCTATGTCGTCCAAACTTTAATTGATTAGTATAAATATAAACGCACATTTCAAATATGAATACATCCACAAGAGTTAATATTTTGTATTACTTGAATAAGTCTCTGCATGATACTTGTGGGTCAACTCCAGCCAAGATTTGGAGAACCTTTTTTTGTATGACAAAAACACTTTTCACTGATGAAGAACCCCCCCATAGACAAATGCCCTATCTAATTCGTGATTCTACATGGGCATGGTAATAATTCAATATTTGTTCACTGGCTAAAATCATTTTGAGATTTCTCATCAAATATGTAATAGATGATAATTTTGAGGTGAGTTGACTACTTGTCTTTTCCAGTTCAGACAGTGGTGTAACGTGAGTCCTAAAAATTTACATTCACTGACATTCGAGAGTATGCTGTTGTTGGCATTTATTTTAATGTCAGAACAAGTTTTTTGTTCATGGTGAAAATTAATAGAAAACATTTTTACTGAATACAGATACTACATGAGACTAAATTATTTGGTGTGCAGTTACACTCTTCTCCAAGGGAATATCGCATTTATTAGATACCAATAATGAATTATTGTCTGCATACATAATGCATGTATTATCAGCGACTGCGGTATTCATATCATTAAAATATAATATAAATAATAATGGTGCCAAAACAGACCCTTGGGGGCCCCAACTCTCAAAATTTGAGATCCATATAATAATCCATAGTAATAATAGTTATTTGAGTTTCGGATTTGAATATACACTGATGATCAGTAATTGAAACAAACTGTCTTTTGTTTTTGGTAAAAGACTCAATCCAATCAAATGCGTTACCTCTGATGCCATACGAATACAATTTATTTAACAAGATCCTGCGATTGACACAGTCAAATGCCCTACTGAGATCATAGAATATCCCAATAGGGCATCCGCCGTTTTCGATGTTTTTCAAAATTTTGGCATAAAATGCTGTAATGACATGTTGGATTTTCTAGATCGGAAGAGTAGAAGAAATAATTTTATGAATCTCAACAAAAAGAGGTACAATTTTACCAATTTTCAGTTTTTCGAGAAAAACTTTGGATAAAGGACATGTCAACTATGTAAGTGAGAGGATATATTTTTATTCTGATAATAATTATGCTTAGTATATAATATAAATCTACGATGTAGTTCTTTTGATCTACTGTAACTTTCTGATACCTCTGGGTGAGAATTTTTGAGGATGAATAGATCCTTCAAATTTCTACTTGAAGTTTTTACCTCTTCTTAAACCCAATTTTTTGATAGATTGAGGTAACACTTTTTCGGAGGAAAAGCCTTATTGAAATATTGACGGTATGTACTATAAAACGTTTGGAAAATTTCATCCACATTTGGGTAGAGTGACATCCAAGAGAGATGACAGAAAATCCCTATGTTTTTGTGAACTGAAGAATTTCTTATATGCATTGAATGATGATGGGATAGATTTTTCAGAAAAATTACTCTCAATTAGTATTAATCTATGATCAGACAATGTATCATCTAAAACACATATCACAGTGTTCGGCAAGTTTATAAAGACATGATCTATTATACTTTGCGAAGTTGCTGTTAATTTAGTAGGCCATTCAAACTTTGAACGGAGATTGAAACTTCTTAACATATTTTTCAAATTAAGAAAATGATATACTTTATGTTTGAAGGTGATTGACAATGTTTCGTGATGAATTTCACTAGTTCGGACTTCCATTCTCTACTATATAAAATGATTTGAAATCCCTGAAACAAGTAAAAAAGAATAAATTTCATTTCAGGTTTATTGTTGCTTAATATAATTGTTATTTTCAACTATTCTTTTTTAATTATTCTTTTTTACTTGTTTCAGGGATTTCAAATCATTTTATATAGTAGACAATGGAAGTCCGAACTAGTGGGATATACTTTATGTGAGTTATTGGTAGAATCCAAGTTTATGTCACCAGCTAAATTTATATCAACATTTGGTTTGTAAAGATTTTCAAGTATAGTAGAAAGATTATTGATGAAAGTATCATAGTCACCATCAGGCAATCTATAGCAAGACAGTACTATTAGATTTTTATTATTTCAAGGAACTTCAAAGATTTCCAATGATTTTCCAACACAGAAATATTTTAAGTTGATTCAATAGCAGTTAAAATCATTTCTGACACAAATAGCAGCACCACCTTTTTCGAATTCTTCTCTACAGAAGAAACTACTTAAATCAATTTATATTAAAACAACGATGAAAATAAAATAAAAACAACAATAAAAATTAATTGACGCTCAGGGGCGACTTGGTTGATTCCAGTGGCGCATTTGCTTTTTCAGCTGCAGGAAAACCCGGAAAAACCTGCAGCACCACATCATCTGAAGATCTTGATCTAAAAATGTCCTCTCTCTTATAAAACAAAATGTAGGGTGTCTCCAGAGGCTCCAATAAATTCAATGCATTGCTTAAATTTTATCCTAAAATTTTTCTCGATAAACCCAACAGTTCAGTCCAGATTCATTACTCTTCGGAAATTCCTGCTTACTCTAAATGAGCCATAACCTTCTGGATATCTAGCACTTCAGAAAAAGATGATTCTTATAGCTTCAGTAGATCAGCAGCACTGCTATTTTCGTTGAATCTGGATACACGTATGTTCACAAGCTTGGGTACCCCCTTCACTTCAATCATCATTGTTGACGATTATACATTTCCTTCTTGAACGTAGATGTAAGACTTTTTGCAATTTTCCTGACTTCTCTTCATTTTTTATTGTCACTTCGTTATTTCTCTGAGCATGCATCTCTAGCTATTAGTCTCTTCTGCTCCCACGTTTGAAGGGTTCACTAAGTTTGTAATTTCACTACACTTATTCCATGTTTGAATATTCATCATTTCAGTTGATACAGTTTTAGTGTTCATATGGGGATTCCCAACCTTTTTGTTGGATTCATCTACCTTTGGCCTTTTTTCTTCTCCCATTGTGTTTTACGGTTTTTGTCAAGGCGGAAGGTATTTTCTTATCAGCCTGACTTTTTTCGTCGCCACAGACCGTTCAGAGTTTAACAGTTCGGTTTGCATCTTCAAAATATCAATTTTGTCATATAACTCCCGAATTAAAATTTCTTGTTTGAAGGTGATTGACAATGTTTCGTGATGAATTTCACTAGTTCGGACTTCCATTGTCTACTATATAAAATGATTTGAAATCCCTAAAGTAAAAAAGAATAATTAAAAAAGAATAGTTGAAACATTCCTTTAATTTCTATTTATTCAATTATTATATTTTTACTTGTAGGTTATTTCACTATCATTTCATTTCAGGTTTATTGTTGCTTAATATAATTGTTATTTTGAAGTATTCTTTTTTAATTATTCTTTTTTACTTGTTTCAGGGATTTCAAATCATTTTATATAGTGGAAGTCCGAACTAGTGAAATTGAAATTTCTTTTTGTTTCAGGAGGTATGAAAGTATAACATTTACAGTTTGGTTACTTAAGCCATAGATGGCTTCGTAAAACTCGTCACTATCAACACCATCTTTATCACTACAACAAATGACATAAGTTTCATCTTTTGAAATTTTCACTTTGGCCACTATATTTTTAGTACAACTTGCAGGATATGCTCTATCACACTTTATAGATTTTAAACCCGTTAGAGTTTTTGATAGGGTAAACGATACAGATGTTGGCCCTCC